AGTTACTTTTCGAAAACGACTAGAGGCTATAAACAGTTAGTTTAGTAGTTAACTCTACTTAACTTAGAGTTAAGCAGTTGCTCCTGTTTAACTTAATACTGCCATCGCCAGAGGTGATGGATCTGAGATACTTAAACTGATCAATTCACTGAAGGGCTTCATTTCCCTGCTCAAGTTACAGATCAGCTCTACCGCATAGGTTGCTCATAACCGTTAATGAAGAAGCCGGTTTTCGCAGCCATACAGTAGCCGCAATGTAAAAATGCTCACATTTCGTGTTACTCGCCAGGATAGTATCATCCCCGTACTCCAGAGTAACAAGATACGTAGCCGGATGCCTTAAACTGTTCTTTCTAGAATAAAACCTTCATATTTACCAGGTTCAGCACTGTTTCGGAGAAGGAGGTTACGAACAATTTTCCCTTGCGAACTTCACAGTTAATAGAGAACTATGTATTTAACTCTCCTTCAAGTTTGACAGCGGGCATGGTGCATATATCTCTTTCGAAATAGAAACGGTGTGTTAGGTAACCCATAGCATTTCAAGATTTTCGAAATGACGATGTATTGAATGAAATGCAGCTAGTGAAGGAAACTAACAAACCAATGCAATCGGAGTCGTCCGCGTTGCAGAGTGCAAATTTTGGCGGGACGGACATGGTTGTATTTACCTATGTAAACCTCCAATGAATTATGAATGATTGGTTAGAGAGGCAGTGATAACTATTATTGACAGATTTTCGTGTATTCCTAGAAACGTATAAAATACTTCTGTCAAAAAAATTAAGCACTTAACAGGATGCAGAGGCACCATTCATTTTTTATCCCTTCAAAGTTGGTTGGTTTTCTTTACCCCAGTTGAACTACCTGAATGGAAAATGCCTACCTTTGATAAGATTGATGAAAAACCGAGATGACTCACATGGTTTGGACATTCAGAAGCTGGACGGTATTGTCGTACTACAGGCCACTAAGATTTGGACAGGAGAATTAAATCGTAATCATGTTGGCTGAATTTTTGAATATCGGGCTTCATCAGTACTCTACTCCCCAATGTTCACATGTGGAGTCAATTATGCTCATGTATGAAAGCCAGCCACCTGTTTTTGAAATCTTTTTATTCTGTTATGAATCTAATCAGGTTCATTCTTACCGTAACGGTCTTATTGTTTACCATGACGTTCGCTACGTCTGTACTTTCAGAGGTTGTTAACACCCTCGAGGAATACCATCTTTGTCAGTTTCTCATACTTGGACTTTTTTCACTAAGCCAAAAGGTGCATTTTTGCATCTGTTACGTGAACACAATATCCGAAGGTCCATCACTACTCGGAGGACCTGATTTTGTTGCGACCCCTGCGGTCGCTTGTCTGAACCTGTTTGGTCCGCAAGAGTCTGTCTTCATGTTTGATAATCTTTCTATCTTCATGTTTTTCAGCATTTTGTATTTACTGGCAGACTGTTAATTTTCTGAATAGCATTTTACCAAACTTTGGAGCTTCGAAAATTATATTTTTCCATGGTTCCGGTATTGTGACTTTGATCATTTCCTCAGCATACAAACAGATGAGAACAGCTTCACCGTAAGTCATGGCGTAATGTGAAGTCTAGAGGGGAACGTGCCAAGGATTATCACAAAACCTAGCGATGAATAGTCAAAGTCGACATCCATCAATATCCTCACAATTTGTCGAAGTATTTACTGCCTGGACTGATTCCAGAATGATCTTGTCAATACTGATGTTGGCGGATTATCGCTATGGAAATAAAATATTCAGCTGTGAAATTTCAGTAGATTAATCGGGATTCAAATGCAAATCAGTCGATGCTTTCAGTATAGCCCATGGAAATAAAGAACAATCAACCATAAATGAGAGCAGTGCTCTAATATACCGGTATGCCATATTTTTCTTTGCTGTTACTCGAGCTGAATAAAGCAGTAAAGGAATGGAGTTGTATTATATCCAGATCAGCCGAAGGAGCAATGACTGCTACTCTACGCTGCTGGGCTCATTTTTTGACCGAATTCCATCAGCTCGTTGAAGAGGCTGACCTCGCGCGGTCAGTGTTTAATACCTTTAGACAATGGGTGCATGATAATTTGATGCGAAGTTCTGCCCATTCTTTAATAACTGCGTTTGTTTCGATGTTAACAA